GTGCAAGGATCCAAGTTTAATCCCCGATTCCAAAAAAAAAAGAAAAAGAAAGTGCTATTTATAAGTCATGGAATGTCATAAAATGGCAGGTAAAATGTTATAAAAGAGGGGCAAAAAAACACCACTCATCCACATTAAATGTTGAAGAAAAACATTATTACAAATAGAACAAATTTACTTTAAACAAATTCACACAATGGGAACAAATACTGTAACCCATAACATAAACATAGAATAGAAATATAATCTATTGTTAATATTTAAAAAAATAATTGTACCTCCTTAATTTGTGTCGCTGAGAAATAGAAAATGTTCCTATCACATCGACAGAAGTACACTGTGCAATTTTTTTCTTCAACAGCAAACTCTTTTTGTGTACTATTTTAGGAACTGTGCTAATAGCACTGGTTTTTCTAGTGTTTAAAGCTGTGTTGACATGATAAAGTGCTATAATTTTAACTTGTTATTGTGAGGCAGAAACTGTCTCATTAATTTCTGCTTCATTCACAACTGAGGAACAAATCAATGTTTACCAATGGGAATGAAGTTAAATGAGTAACAAAAAGAAAATCTGAAACACTCGTGATAAGTCATTAGTTTAAAATGTAGAAAAACAATTTTAAAGGAATGTCTAAGTTCTGTTTAGTCAACACAATTTAAATGAAAATGAGAAAGTGTTTTAGTAAATTTAAAATGGATTTAATTTTTATCCTGTTAAACCTGAAAAAGGTTGCAGATGAAATAACAGTGACTATGCATTAATAAAATTTGATCCTTTATTACATTAGGTATTTATGAACTTTAGCTATCCCAGCACTTTAAATATAGTGAAGATTCAAATAAAAAAAATTTTGGGGGGGTACTGGGAATTGAACTCGGGACCTTGTGCTTGTGAGGTAGGTGGCAGCACCAATGAGCTAAATCCCCAGCCCTGAAAAGTTCTTCTGTTTTAGCCATAATTCATTTAAAGATTTTTAAAATATCAGAAAATGAAAGATAAGACTAAAAAGAATATTAGAGATAACCTCATCCTATCTTTTTATCTTATGAATGGGGAAGATAAGAAACAGAAAAAGTAAAAAAAAAAAGTGTTTCAAAATTTAACAACTAATTAGTAACAGAGCAAAGAAGTCTGGCCCTTCTAATTACTTTCCTGTTACTACAAAATTTAATCTTTGAATGAAAACATAGATGTTTTGAAAAGTCAATTCATTCTTTGCCTTTTTAAAATAAGCAACCAAAGTCACAACCCATAATAATCACTTCTAAGTGGTTAACACCCTTCCTTACATAGAATCTGTAGCTGAAAGGCTATTGCTTTTTTTTTTGGCTGGGGTAATGGAAATCAGGACTGGGGATGGAAATCCGGACCTTGTGTTTGGGAGGCAGGCACTGGCACCACTGGGCTAAATCCCTGGCCCAAGGCTATTGCTTTATCAGCCATGTAGAGAAGTACACTATTCCTCCTTGAATAGTACAATAGGAAAAAAAAAACCAAAGCAGGGCACTTTGATTAGCTATCCAAAGTATTTTGTTAGAGCACCAAATCAGTCACAGGCACTGAGCACAGGAAGCTAGATGCTTAGGAAGAAACATGGCAACTTTCATATTGTATTGCTCCAAACAGCACCCAAAAGACAGTTCTGTGTGCATGTTTTGGGTGTGGGAGTACCAAGGACTTGTACAGGCAAGAGGAAGCAGGGAGTCCATGCTCCAATCTAGGCTGGCTGGGTCTATCACTAGGATTCAGCATTGTTTGGCCACAGTTAATAAGAAGTGAAAAAGTGGGAGCTGGGCACAGTGGTACACCCCTGAAATCCCAGCTACTCAGCATGCCGAGCCAGGATTGCTAGTTGGAGGATAGACTGGGCAACATAGTGAAACACTTTCTCAAAAATAAATAGAATTTAAAAAGGGGGCTGGGCCTAGTGCTCATGAGAACCTGCGTTCAACCTCCACTACTGAAAACCAAACAAAAACACAAAACAAAACAAAAAACAGAAAAACAGACAAAGGTGAGAAACAAGTGTATAAGTAACCAAACCCTGGAGGTGAGGCTGAACATGGGACAATTAATTTTCCTCTTAGTCACCTTCAGGACAACTCCCCAAGGACAGAGTGAACTCCCACCAAGTGCAGCTGTAGCACCCACACCCTGATATTCTGGCATCTCTTATTAAACAGAGCTGAAGAAGAGAAAAGCACTTTTCCTCTCTTAGCTTGCTGAGCGTAGTTCTGAGTAGAAGAGCATGTGTAGAAAGACTTCCTGGGACAAGGTGTAACTTTCTAAATTTTAAGAAGACCAAAACATGCAAAATGGCTGGGGACAAAATACAACATGCCCTTTGCTACTCTGCTTTTACTACCAAACAGACTTTCCTTTTAAATTCAAACCATGCAAGCAATAAATTGGTGGGGAGAAGAGGGTAGAGGAGGTGGCCTAAGATTTTTCTAGTAGTTCTGCCTCTAAATAGGTATGCACATTCGGGGGTGGGGGATCTTTTAATCACTGGCTCAGGCTTTTTTTGGCAAGGGGAAGTTTGGTCCCTTCCTGTTCAAAATTTCATGACTCTGTGTGGAAGAGATTTAAAAAAAAAAATTCTAAAAGCAAAAAGTTTCTGTGATTATGAAAGACCACTAGGGACTAACGTGGGGCCCCTGAGCTATCCCTTTGAAATTGTGCAAATTTTTTTTTTTTTGGTTTGAGTGTATGTATGTATGTATGTAAGCACTTTTCTAGGAAAAGGAGTATTTCCATTAGAGACTCAAAGAGAAATTAAATCCCCCAAAAAGGTTGAAGTCACTGGTTGAGACAGTAAATGGAGCCTTTAGTTTCTGATTTATCTGGTTGGGGAGCAGATGAGCAGCGGTCTTCACAGGGCTATAAAATCTGTCCCTCAAAACCTTCTTGAGTTTCCATTTGTCTTCAAGGGCTGTCTGTAATTTTTCATGAGCAAAAAAATGGCTTTTAAAATCAAGGGTCCTTTTTCATCAAATATTTAAAATTCTGGGGATTTCAAGAGTTAGTTTTATATCAGTGGCTAAAGAAAAGTCATTTTTCATTTGAAAATTTCAAGAATATAGCATCTTAAACATTTGCCCACTCATGCTGAATTATTGTAGTATTTCTTTCTTAACTGACTTGAAACAAAAGGCTTGGCTCCTCCGCCCAACTGGCTTTTCTTTTTCTTCTGATGGTTTAGTCAGTTCTGAAATAATGATGATGAATTAACTGTAGCTCTATTTGAAGTAGTAATTATCATTTTTATAAAGACTTGATCCCTAGATACATTAAATAGAAGATACTGATATTGATATAAGATTCTTAAAAGAATTGGTTGGAAATTAAAAAGGAAAATGACCCAAGGAAAGATTCATGCAGGAAGAAAAAAAGAACCAAAAAGAAAATCTACTTGATTAGATACCAAAAATAGTATTAAATCCCTAGGCAGAGAAACAAGAAGAAAAAATTTCTTAAACGGAACAAATATATTAACCAGAGGGCACTGATTTTTGAATACATTAAATGAAAACGATAAAAACACTGAGCTTTTCAAGGACATCTCTTTGCTCACAGTCTTAAGGTGTTTCATGGCTTGTCATTAAGGCAAAGACAAGAGGTGAGGAGAAAACATCACAGGAAGAAGGATGTTGCCAGTGATTATCAGATAGATATCAAAAGCTCAGGGGAACAATGATTTTTGTGGCAGAAATGCCAATCAGTGGGGAGTGCTGATTTTGCTTTAGACAGTATCAAAGGGGTATGATGTAAAAATAAGAAAATGAGGGTTAAGCATATGCCTTTTAACAAATTATTCTAGGCAACACAGACGCTTTTAAAGGGACTCCAGTTTGCATATATGGCAATATGATCAGGACTACTCCTAGTGGCTCCTAAATCCGAATGGGAAGGAAAGCCACATTCAGCGCCTCTGGTCAGCTCCAGGCTCCCTTCCCAGTCCTGCAGCTTCAGGTCTCGGTTCCAGTCTGTTAACTCTGAGGGCGCCAGCAGGAGGCACCGATCCTCAAAAAACCCGGTCCCCAGATGCCCCAACCTGGGTGCTTGTATTCAGGGAGCATCCTCTTGTGACTCGTGCTTTCGAGTAACAGCTCATCTTTTCTCCTCTCCGCGCCTCCTCAAATCCCATTCAATAAAAA